TCACAGATATGGAAACAGAGGCTAAGGGAGACGGACTGGCCGCAGCCACATGACCTGTCAACACGGGGTCTCCTGGGTTCTTCTCAGGACTTTTCGCTGCCATCAGTTCTCACCCAAGTACTTTCCTGGCTGTTTCTCCTCATCTAATTAAACAAGTGCCTACTGAAGGCTGCACCATAAGGGCATGTTTGAGGTAGCCAAGGAGACCCAGGAAGCCTTGTCTGAACCCATCTCCTCCCCCAGCCAGGCCCAAGAGTTCTCTCCAGGGGCCCTTCAGTCACCTGGGTCAGCAGCTCAGAAGAGCAGCCAGGAGACAGGTGTGCCCTGGAGAAGGGGCTTCAGCAAGTCCCATCACTGCTCAGAGCCGGAGACCCCGATGGGGAAAAGAAGGTTCCTGTCACACCACATCCCGGCCTTTTAAGGGAGAATTGCTGGGAGCCCTGAAGTGGTCTTCTGCAGGGACAGAGAACATGGATTTGGGACTCAGTTGGGCCTGGGTTAGAATCCCTACCATTTCCAGGCTGTGTGACTTCAGGCAACTATAGTTTATGACTAAATTTTCTTATAATACTGCTCTATTACAGCATAGAGTAGATGCATATTCTATTAATATTACTTTTACATACTCATAGACATGCGTGTACACAATTCATCCACATACATGTATCTAGATGCCCACGATCTCATAACCACACACAAACTCCCATCAATCACACACACCCCACACTGAGATACAGAGCAGCATCTGGACTCACCATGTACCAGGCACCTCACTCCTCACAGCTGCCTGTGACGTGTGTGCATTTTTACCTCTCTTTTCAGACGTGGATACATACATCATATGCAAAAACACCCACTGTGTCCTGGGATGTGGACACTGCTGGCAGCTCCGGGAACCCTGAACCCCCCTCCCGCTCTGTATCAGAGGAGGCCAAACCAATTTCCACGGTCATCTCCAGGGCAGCCCCAAGCTGGGCCCCAAGTGCTGACTGCCCTCCATCCCTAGGACAAAGGCTCAACCTGGCTTGCATACCAGCTGCGGTTGGGGAAACCCCACTGCCTGCAGAAACCAAGTCGACTTTGAAAGGAAGAGACAGAAGCCAGGGGGTGGCTAGGCCACTCCTGTGGGGGCAGGTGCTAAGTAACTCCATAAACTCTGGCTAATGATGCAATTACAACCATAAACAGAACCCCAGGAGGGATGGGGCCAGAAATCAGACCCTCAAAGGGCAGCCAGGCTTGAGGGGTGGGAAGCCCCTCCCATCTGCTTTCCAGCTGAGAGGTGGAAGGGAGGCCTCACTGGCCCTGGGGTGAGTGCTGGGGACCCCCATCATCCCTGAGCACTGGATGGGCTCCTGCGTGCCCTGGCCCACCCTCCTACCCACCTCCGACTGTGAGTTACCAGGCCATCAGCCCTCAGAAGCCCAGGGGCTCTCCCGGGACTGAGTGGTCACCAGAGGAGATGCCCCCAACCATTGCACCCTTTCCACAGAACACAGAATCAGGGAACCTGGGCTCCCGTTGGGCTGCACCTCAGAGAGCTGAGCTGAGGGCAAAATAGCACTGCAGCTGTAACAGGCCTCGTAAACTGTAAGCAACGTTGGCTGCGCTCCCAGACAAGCAGAGCACACAGTCACCCTAAACAGCTCTTCGTTTCCATTGCCTGGTTCCTGACTCTTCTGCCCCAGAAGCCAGGAGGCAGGCAGAATGAAGGGGTCTGTGTGAGTTGCCATTTTCCCCATGGCTGGGGAAACTGAGGCAAGATCCAGGCACACCTCAGGCTACCAGGTAGGGCTCTGGAGGCAGCCAGCCCTTCCCCACCCCACCCCCTGCCTCTTCTGGCCTGCCTTTAACTCTTGCCGGCTGTCTCTCTCCCAGACTGTGATCTCCCTGAGGCAGGGCCTGGGGGCCCGTCTCTCAGGCTGGGCATAGAGAAGGCCTCAGAGGGAGCAAGTGTACGAACCAAGAACTGCGTTCTGCTTTGAGGACACCCACACGAGACCAGCCCCCCACCTTCCCCTCCACCCCCAGTTGCCCAAGAGGGCCAGGTCTTGGGCGGGTGGAATCTCAGCCATCAGGGTTCTGAACCCACATCCCAGAGGCGTCACTGGGGACCAGCCTTGTCCCATTCCGGCTCAACTAAGCACCCCCTCCCCACTCAAGGGTTAACGATCACTATCACAAGGATTAACTAGCACTTCCCCGGAGAACGCTAAGCCAAAGCGCTCAAGTTTGGTCCAGGAACTGTTTGCGCATAACCACCCCCAGAACACAAGCGCGTGAGGTCGACGACAGGGGTGGGCGCGGCATCAGAGAAGGACTCAGCGGTGAGGGGTTGGCCCGATGAGGAAGGGTGGCGGAGCCCAGGGCGAATGAGCCCCGCCCCCGGCGCCCTCCCTCCACCACCACCACCCCGCCTCCCTCCCTCCCCCTGCGAGCTGGGCCGGGGAGCGCCGGGCGGCTGCGGCGCGAACCTGCTCGCGCAACCCTGAGCAGCTCTGGGCAGCCGTGCGTGAAGCCAGAACTCCGGGCGGGAGGGAGCCGAGGGGCGGGGAGCCGAGCTGGCATCAGCCCGCTCCCTTCGAGAAGGCGAGCGCACTCGCCGCTTCCGCCGAATAGCTGATCGGGGTACCGGGGGCGGGCGGAGACGGCGGAGAAGTGCTGACTTAGGGGTGGGAGAGCCTGGGGTTAGGAGGTGCAGACTCACGGAATCGGGGGAAGGGGGCGTGTTTTCCGGGATTCGGGACCGGGAAGGACGGGGGATACTCTGGGGGCGGGTAGATGGCTGGGAGCTGCAGGGAAGGCAGGAGTGGTGTGCTCTGGGGTTGGAATTCCCTAACGTCGTGGAATAATGCAAGGGGGAGAAAAAGACTGCTCTCGGGCACACCGGGGGACGCGGGTTGGAGCGGCTTCTTCAAGAGACCGAGGGGGAGGAAGGGGCGGGAAGGGAGGGAAGGATGGTACTTCCACCCGCCCCCCCCTCCTCAGCAGCCCGGCCCCCGGGGCGTGGCGCCGCTCCGGCCCGCCCACTCCCCGGGACCATCCAGGCAGGGCCTGGCCCCGCTGGACTCGGCCCCCGCACACTCCCTACCTCCCGCGCCCTCCCCGTGCCACCCGCCGCCCCAGCCGCGTCCGGTGGAGAAGAAGCGGGCGCAGGGCCCACACGCCCTCAAAACTTCTTGCAAGTTCACTCCCACGACTCCCGCCCCTTCGACTTCCAGCTCCCGGGCCGGGAAGGCCCATGCCCGCCACGGCCCCTCCCGCCTGGTTACATAAGGTCGCGGAGAAGCCGCCCCCCGGCCCGAGCCTGAAGGGAGGGGCTGGAGGGGCTCCCAAGCTCCGCGGGCAGCGCCGCCCCGGCCATGCGCCGGACGAGCCGGGCCGGCTAGACGGACAGCGGGGCGGGTGGCAGTGCGGCGCACACGATCTCGCTCCCTTTTCCAGTCAACACCCCCACCCAGCCACCCACCTGTCTCGCGGACCCACGGGATCGGAGCAGCGGAACCTGGGTCGGGAGTTCCGGGCCCTCCGCGCACCCCTTACCCCCCGGTCCCGCTCACCTAGCTATGAAGGTCAATCCGTCCGCCGCCCGCGCCCCGCGACTCCGGCAACTTGTCCCAAGTTCAGGTGTCGGGCCCGAGAGCTGCGCCGGCCGCCCCCTCCCGGGCTCCTCCGGCTCCGCGCCACCGGGGAGGCCCGCCCCAGTCCGCCCTGCCCTCTGCCGTCGGCGCCGCCGCCGCTCCCTACGTCCAGCCCGCGGCCGCCGCCTCCGCTGTCACCGAGCCCCGCGCCCGGCGCCGGGGCTCCTGCTGTCACTCGGCACTCACTTCCCGCCGCGCCCGGCAGAGGGCAGCACCCTACCCCAGGGCCCCGCCCCTCCCGGCTCCGCCCCGCCCCGCCCTACTGTCTGTCTGCCTGCTGCAGAGCCCGCTGGGAAACGTAGTCCTCCCCTCTGGGCGACGGCTCTGCTAGGCACGTCGGGATTTGTAGTCCCAGCCTGCGGGCTCAGGCCTGTGCTGGGACTTGGCGTTTAATTTGGAAACTTTGCTCCGTTTGGTTTCTACCCCTTTTGCAAGTTTTCTGTTTTCAGGAAGTAATGTCACGAACCACAGATCATCACAATATACCCTGTGGCCTATTTGACCCCAATGAGAGGCATGCAGTGTGCTGGCTTTCCTGGAGTCTAGGAAAGAGGTAGGGTCCCAGATGGTGTGCTGTTGCCATAGAAACCCCTCTGTGTCAAACCTCATCCTCCTGGTTTGGAATGGGGTACCAGACCTGGATCTTGAGCATAAGGGACAAGGTTGATCAGCATGGTGAAGGAAATATGACTATAAAATGGAGCCTACCTCCTCTCCCATCATCAGTTCTCCATTTAGCCCTCCCCACCTAGACCTCATTAGCTGGAGGTTGCAGGTACACCACCACCATGTTGCTGAACAGAGAAACTTCCTGACCTTTTCATGTCACCCTCCCCTGCTGGATGTCACAAGATGCTCTGGTGGCATCAGGTGATGTCTCCCTAAAGGACACACAACTGTTACAATGTGCATTGTCCACCAGCCTTCTTCTGAAAGCTCCTAATGCAAACTTGATCACTGATAAGGAGGAATAAGCCTAGATTTAAGACACATGGGACCCCTAGTCACACTGCTAGTAATATGTGTGGGTAACTCTGGTGGTAGTTTGGTAAATTAAGTCAGCAGAGCATTTTGGATTGTCCCTTACAAAGGAATGCCCTGCCTGCATGCCACTACCACTGTTTTCCCTCTCCAGAGAGAAGCTGTGAAGAGACTCCAAGCTTTGAGGGGTACAGGGCCCACCCCCAAGCCTACCTCGTGCCCTATTTCTCTTAGAATCTCTGTGACCTACCACGAACCTCCTAGAAACTCAGGGACAACATGGTCCAGTAGAGGCAAAGTTGCCTCTGACTCTTATTGTCCCATTCCCTGAGCCTTACAAGGCTACGACTGCCCTCTAAAAACAACAGGATGGCCGATGTGGAGAAGAGCTGTTTATTGTTAGAGAAAGTCCAGAGTCCAGAGAAGGGAGGCTAAATGCAGAGAGGAAGTGCAGAGAGAACCCCCTGTAGGGTGGAGTGTCCAGAGGGAGAAGGAAGCGCGGGAAACAAGGCGCTGAGTCTAGGCGGCCGTGGCGAAGCCCACCCTGTTGTTGCCCAGGTCGTAGACGGAATAGTATGACCTGAGAAAGACGTCCCCGAGGATCCACAGGGGCTGGCCATTCTGGGAGGGTAGGTAGGTGACCTCCACCCCCAGGATGCAGTAGCTGTCGTCATTCTGCACAACACACAAGGGCAACACTCATTCATCAGCTCACAGGTGGACGGGGCACTGCTCAGCCCAGAGCCCCAGGCCAGCAGCACAGATACAGAAAAGGATGAGCCAGAGTTTCTACGCTTGAGGCCTCACAGGCCAACTGAGCTGCCAGAGCGGGGCTGGTTGGGGATGCTAGTGTGGCTGAGGGCAGGTTGCAAGGGCCCTCCCTCTGCAGGATCTCCTCAACTCCTGGTAGTAAAGCCTTGAAGCCAGATCAGCTTAGGTTCAAACCTTAGCTTCACCCTGACTGTGTAGCCAATGAGTTAACCTCTCGGAACCTCCAAGTTTTTATTTGTAAAATAAAAATTCATATCTCCCTCATTAAATGTTATGACAAGTCATCAGGAAAATGTAGACAAAGTGCTTCAGTTGGTGGCTGACTCTTGTAAGTGCTCAAAAGAGAGCCAGTGACTCTCCCCCTTAATTAATAATAATTATTAATAATAGATGATTGCTCTGCTCTTTCATAGCCTGGTTCCAGAGAAGGAGGTTTAAAATCCATGAGAGGGGAAGAGAAATCAATGCTGCAGGAAATGGCACAGTTAAGGGGACCAAGTGTTTTTGGCTCCTCACAGCTTCCTCCCATCCATCACCCACCTCCATCCCTGATCTTGTGCCCACTGGCTCAGCCTGCAGGAACCAGGACTTACATTGAGGATGTAGGAGGCAGGTGGCAGAGGGAACTGCACGCCATTGATGACAAAGGTGAGGGTGGGCAGGTTCTGGATGTTGTTACAGTCCACAGGAAACTGCAGAGAGGAACAGTGCCCGGGTTGCCTCATCTCCCCTCTGAGAGAACCTGCCAACCCCATCACTGCAGCCCCTGGGGTCCTGGGCCCGAGCCCCCAAGCCTGCTCTTGGACTGGAGGCTGCAACATCAATACTGCTGGTGTTACCCATGAGGACTTGCAAACAGAAGCTCCAAGTTTTAGAAGCTGCTGTACAGAGGGTAGGTTGTCGGGGGACCTGAGTCACCTATCTCAAAACATGTCTCTTTCTTGAATATCCCCCATGAAAGTTTAAATCTACGCCCCTTCTCTGCAAGTGTCCTTTTAAAACAGGTCTGATACACTACTATGTGCAAAATAGATGGCTGATGGGAAGCTGCTATATAGCACAAGGTGTTGGGCTGGGTGCTCTGTGATGACTAGAGGGGTGGAATGGCGGTGACTGGGTGGGAGGTCAAAGAGGGAGGGGATGGATATATGTACGCCTCTAACTGATTCTCTTCACTGGACAGCTTTACACAGCATTGTAAAGCATCTATATCCCAATAAAAATTAAAATAATAAATAAATAAAATACACAGTTCTGTACAAAGTATAGCTCATCAGCCCACCAAAGTTAGTGAGAATACCTTAATTATGCAAACCCTTTGGTAGGCTCAGGAGGGGGTAAGGATGGGGGCAGGGCCTTGCCCCATCCACCTCCCAAGGTGGAGGTGAGGGAGCTCTGGATTCAAGAGTTATTCCTTGTTGCTGTTGGGCTTGGTCCCACATTCTAATTATTTAGCTCTTACTGCAAAGCCAAGCAGGTGTTTAACCTGTTTCCTCTAAGTGGTTGAAGCTCAGAGGAACTTCTGCCTATTAGTGACCTCCCATACCAGCACAGGCATCTGGCCCCCCTGAATCAGCCTTCCAACCCCCAGCCAGCCCCCGCCCCAGTCATCCGGGGCCCCCACCTCAAGTGCCGGGAGTCAGCGAGAAACACCGAGGCCAAGAATCAGGCTATTCCTGTGCTCCCAGGAAAAACCATAAATGCCTCCTGGTCTCTCCCAGGGAAGGGGCACACCTCCGCTGCATGCACCTGTCCATACTGGTCCTCCTGGGCCCCCGTGGCCTGCAGAAGGGCACTCAGGAACTGCTGGGGCACCGTGAGCAGAGATGTGCCGGTGTCCACGATGGCCTGGCAGCCTGAGGAACACCAGCCTGTGGCCTGGTCACCAATGAGGAACCTGAATAGTGAGAAGATGGGCAGTCTCAGCACCCCCCAGCTAAGGGCAGCTAAGGGATGGGCCGCAGTTACCGAATCAAAGTGCACCTCAGGAAGATAAGGATTCTACAGAGGTCAATCCAACCATCCCCCAGCCTCATAACAGAGTCTGTCCAAGTCCGCCTGAATGGCCATGTTTTCTGTTTCTAAAAAGTTCCACAGATAGTTCTAGAAAGACTGATGGCCAGGGCTATTGATTCGTTGTAAATACTTTGAGTAAATTAGTCCCTCCCCCCACACACCCCAGTTTCTAATCTCTAAGCCCCTAAGGTTGGATGACAGGGTCTGAAATGTCTGGGATTCCAGACCCTGCCTCTTCCTGTGTTGTCTCTACCTCACCCACCTTCTCCAGGCCGACCAGGGTCTTGAAACCCGAAGACCTGGATGTGTGTGTGCGACATCCTGCCCGAATGAAGTGCCCACACCCCTGGGGCCCACCGCGACTCACTCCTCAACGCCAATCTGCCAGTACAGCTCCTGAGTGACAGGGGCCCAGGAGATCTGCCCCGTGTACAGGCTGCTGTCCACACCCCCGAAGATGACTGCTCCTCCGTCACGAGAGCCCTGTTGGCTGCAGAATGTAAAGCGAAAGGCGAGTCAGGAAGTGGCTGTGGGTAAGGCAGGAAAGTAGAAGTCCTGCCCTGGCTCCAGACTCGGGCTCCCTGAGGATAGGACTGAGTCTCCCCTCAGACTGGGGCTCCCTGAGGCAGGGCTGTGTCTCCCCTCAGACTGGGGCTCCCTGAGGCCAGGGCTGTGTCTCCCCTCAGACTGGGGCTCCCTGAGGCAGGGCTGTGTCTCCCCTCAGACTGGGGCTCCCTGAGGCAGGGCTGTGTCTCCCCTCAGACTGGGGCTCCCTGAGGCGGGACTGTGTCTCCCCTCAGACTGGGGCTCCCTAAGGGCAGACGTTGTATCTCCCACCTCTGACCAAGGCTGGGAATTCCCAGTGCCTCCAGCTCTCAAATGAGGCAGCTCCACCAAGTGCTTTCTCTGGGAAAGCCTCTGGTCATCTGGCCTGCAGCCCTGTCCCACCTCTCTCCTCTGCCTTTCACTTCATGCTGCTGGTGGAGCGTGTCGGCAGGAGCCTGACCGGGGCCTAGTTTGTTGTGTTTCTGCTGGAATCGGAGGGAAGAGGGACCCAGGGGGAGTGGAGGGCACGACCTCCCTGTTAGACGGTAGACGAGCAGGAGGGTGGCACTGGGCAGCGATCCTCCNAGAGCCTCACCTTCTGTTCTGACTCTTTTAAGCCCCTCCTCGGGAAGGTGTCCCCCTCAGGCTCTATCCTTTAGTACTTGGCGGGAATTCTCATTTTGGCCTTTCCAGTGTTTTCTGTCTTTGCTGGGGTCTTCTCCCCTCACTGCCCAGTGCATGGCCATTCTTCCTGCAACTGTTTCAGAAATTATTCTGAGGGGAGAGCAGTGAGGAAAAGAGTGTTGGCCTCGGCTCCCTGACCTTGATTTAAGGAACAAAAGAAGCCAAGCTTTAGGTTGCAGCTTGGACAGCTGAAGTATTTTATGCTTTGGGGGAAAAAACACATATTTTGCCTGTTGGAAAGCAAGTCTCTGTGAGTTCTCCAATGACTGGAAGAAAGCACTTGTGGTCTGGGGTCTTTGTGTTCTTGCAGTTTGAGCCCTGCTTCATGGTAGAAGATCTGGGTTTTTTACCCCGTGGCTTCTTGCTTCCCCTGCGCCTGTGCGCAAGTCAGTCACCGTGTCTGAGCCTTGGGCTCTCAGTGCATCAGCCCCTTGGGAAACCGGGAGTGTATGTGATGGGATGGGCTTCCTTGGACCTCTGAGTGTAGAAGTGGCTTGTGTCGCCCCTCCTGCCCCTCCTTCGTCATCACGTGAACCTGAGCACGCACCAGGACAGTGACCGCTGTGCTCAGCACCAGGCCGACGATGACTCAACTGTCTGATGAGCCTCACCATGTCCCAGGGCTTCACAGCGGTTCTAAAGGCGGAGCTATTTATAACTCCATTTTACAGATGGGGAAACAGAGGCACAAGGAAGGCAAGTGACTTGTTCAGAGGGGGGATGTGAACCCAGCTCGTGTGACTGCAGCCCACACACTTAACCCTCAGGCTCTGCAGCTACGTGGAAGTACAAGGGCCGGCCCTGAGCGTGACCCTGTGGGGAGACAAGAGCCTCGCTCACCTGTCTGGCCATTCCTCTTGGTTTTCCTTCACCCACCCGACTTGCCAGGGCCCTACTCTGGGTGCAGTGCTGGGTTGGCCTGGAGCAGAGCTGGGGTCCCTGCCCATGTGAGAGACAGTGTGTGTGTGTGCCAAGTGGCTTCAGTCGTGTCCAACTCTCAGCGACCCTTTGGAGCGTGGGAGACAGAGGCACCCTGATTTTGCAGTCCAGGGTGTGCAGAGTATGGTCATGGGTCCTCCAAGCCAGAGAATGGCACAGTACAGGCCAGAGAAAGTTCCGAGGAAATAGTTGTCAGTCAGTGTCTGTCCACGGAAGGCAGAGTTTAGAACGAATAGGAATGCTTCTGGAAGGCGGGTGAGGATAATCTCAACAGAACAGAGGGAAGCAGGTGTGCATTACCCTCAGGACCATGGCCAGGATGACCTTGAGTCCCAGTGAGAGTCCAAGGTCACTGGGCAGGGAGCCACCGAAGCTAGGTGGCTGGCTTCTATTTCTTAGTCCAACCGGGTGCACTCACCAGGAGAATCCCCATCACCCAGGCAGGCCCCATCTGCTTCTCTTGGAAGATAAAACTCCATATCTGTGTCTCTTTCTCTCACTTTCTCTTTCTTTCATGTGCGCGCACACACACACACACACACACACACACACATGCCCATATCTAGGCTGGAATCCAGAGTTTCACTCTCTCTCTCACCTAGACATGACTGAACCTGAGTTCCAGAACTAAACTTGAAGGATACCTAGAAGTCAGCTGCCTTCTCTCTGAGTCTCACATTCCTGATTTATAAAGGAATTAGAAAAGGTGACCTCTGAGGTCCCTTCTAGCTTGGACATTCTAGGACTTTATGTAATTACAGAACTTCATTATAGAATTCAAAGATAAACCTCAGCACTTGCTTGAGAAGAAGAGTCCCCCTACTCCTCCACCCCTCAACCTTCTTTATGACTTTCCGGCTTCTCACCGTGCCTCAGTTCCACCGCTGCAGAGTCATCTTTGGACTTTAGGCATTTTGTATAATTCCAGACCAATGCTCCTGCTCTGAATCTAGCACATGGAGAAGGGCAGTGTCCCCCTGGGAAGAGACCAGCCCACCTCAGTGTGTGGATGAGCACTATATATACAGGTGGTGTCTTACCTGTGGCTTCTGCTGCCTGCTTTTCAGAGCCACCTGTATGTGTCATTTCAGCTGATGCTCACTGCAGACGGCTGGGAGGTTTATCAGATGGTTTCCAAGGTGACCGCTGCTGGGAGCAGGGCTGGTAGAGGGGCAGTGGGGACCAATGGAGGGGTTCTGTGCCTTTGGGGTCCCGGAGGGCTAGCAGGGTAGCCCTGCTACCTCACTCAGGAGAGGCCCCTGAGTGAGGAGACTGGAGCAGAGGATGGAAATCTGTCGGGAACCAGAGCTGGAATGATGGGCCAGCACAGTCTGGGGCCTCCCTGGAAGCAGAGCATGCTGTGTGCTGTCACCAGGAGGCTGCTGTCTGTCTGTCTGTCTGTCTGTCTGTGGGTTGGTGTTGGGGTCCCACCTCAGAGTGGGGGGTGGGGCTGGCTGTGGGTCAAGGTGTCCAGACAGGATGTCTCTGCTGATGATTTCAGTGTTGGTGACTTGGGGGAAGGTCTGCTTCTAGACCTCTCTGGCTCTACCACTGCTGGCCACGCCCTGTCCCTCCCTGGGTCTCAGTCTCCCCCTCCTCAGGGAGAAGATAATCCTGAAGGTTTATCTGTTATCTGATCACAGATAACAGATAAACTGATAACAGATAATCCAGTTCTGATACTGGGAGTTGGCTGGCAGGAAGCCACATAGCCCAGTGTCTGGTTTCTCCTCTCTGGGGAAAGGGTACAAGGGGCCTGTTGGGGGGAGTGGGGCATGGGAGTGGAGAAGGGGGATGACAAGACCCCCGGGGACATCTGAGAGGGAGGTGGGACATGGATGAGGTGGTTGGCAAGGGCAGAGCGTGACTCTAGGGCAGTGTAGGAAGGAGTCAATAGCACCAACAGGTGGGTGGCAGAGGGGGTGGGGGGCGGCTCACAGGATGCCCCTTCAACAATGAAGCCCTTGCCGAAGTCAACAAGCATCTTCAAGGAGCAGGTCTCCTGGCGGGCCCCTCTGGAGGGCTGTGTGGGACACAGAGCGATCCCCGGGGCGTGGCGGGGAGTGAGGAAACTGGGCATTGATGCCCCAACTCCTGCCCATCATTGGCTGAAGGCTGCCCCGGGGAGTGTCAACTCCCTGGTTATTTGCAACCCTGTCCACCTGGGAGAGACCTTGGAAGAGAAGCAGGAGGAAACTGGATGTGGACGGGGACTCTGAGGGTTGAGGAGGGCGGGAAGGCCGAGCATCAGCAACCTTCAAAGCTGGTACTCTCTGTTGCACAGATGAGGAAACCGGCCCAAAGAGGTGGAGTCACTTCCCAGCCGGAGACCAAGTTTCCGTCGGGCCATGTTGTTCCCTGCGCAAGGACAGCAGCAGGTCACTGTGCAGTGAGGGATACAGACATGCAGGCTTGCCCAGTTGCCCCTGTTAGATGGGATCCTGCCTCCCTGGCACTGACCTTGCAGGACCCTGAGAGGACTGGGAGCTAATATTTACCCAGCACTGAGCGCAGTGCCTGGGGCTCAGTGAGTGGAAGCTGTGATCGCACAGAGGCAGGGTGGGAGGGGGATCCACACCTGTCTCTCTGCCCCCAAACACTGTGTCCTTTTTTTTTTCTCATTTATTTTTATTAGTTGGAGGCTAATTACTTTACAATATTGTAGTGGCTTTTGCTATACATTGACATGAATCAGCCATGGATTTACATGTGTTCCCCATCCTGAACCCCCCTCCCGCCTCCCTCCCCATCCCATCCCTCTGGGTCATCCGAGTGTACCAGCCCTGAGCACTTGTCTCATGCATTCAACCTGGACTGGCAATCTGTTTCACACTTGATAATATACATGTTTTGATGCTACGTCATCTATTTTTGTTGTTGACCATGCCACGTTGCTGGAAGGAGCTTCGTTCCCCAGCCAGGGACTGAACCCTGGCAATGAGAGCACCATGGAATTCCCTGTTGTGTCCATCATCTTACTGCATGACTTCAAGTCTGATTGTTAGGGCCATGTGTGCGCTCTGGCCTTGATCACCGAAGGACCCTGTTCAAATGAGTCTGCATCTCCTGGGAGGTGTCATTAATTAATCCTTAGGCACAGGGGAGATGATTGAGTCAACTGGCTCTAAGTAGAGCCTGGGACAATGGAACAGTGAATGGAGAAGTTTTGATGGCTTGATCTCATTTTATTTTTTCAGAGACAGAGAAGTGGTAAAAGGAGAATTTCTAGAACAGAATTTTTAGAACATTGGGCAAATTGGGATTTGGCCCAAGAGCAAGGTGCTGTGCAAGCTAGGGTACCGGGGTCCACAGGAGTGCGTGGGGGTGGGGGTGAGAGGTAGGGAGCA